CAACCCATCCACCGAACCCACCCCTCACTTCCAACCCGCACCCCCCCCACCCACCTACACACACACACCACAAACATGAAACCACCCCTGCCATGAACGCTCTCATCATATCTCATTATCAGTAGATGCCTTGCAGTGTCCCCACCACTCAGAAGTGGGTAGATCCTCCCAAGAAATCAGCCAACTTTCAGAACAGTCAGACAGACAGACAGGTTGTAAACGTGCCAACAGAGCAGTGCCCAGCAGCAGATAACGCAGGTCCTGTGTCAGCTCTCAGAGAAGGGAAATGGGGAACTGCCTCAACTATGTGTGCATTCTGCTGGTTTTCTTACTCTTCTGTTTGTGTAAAGGTGAGGAGAGAGCCGCGTATCCGATAGCAATCAACACATTAACTTTTACCCCAACCATAACCCCTATCTTTAAGGGACATCTGGGAGTAAGTACTATTACTATCACGCCACTTGGTTGATATTTGTGAAATGTGCTGACAAAGTGAGTTACTTCTTGGATTGGTTGATGCTCAATAGAAATAGATACACCTAGCTTATAGTTGAAGTTTTTTAAAATATTTTTTAAAAACAATATATAAGTATGAAATAATAAAAGGCATGTCTTACTGTCTTAACGAATAATAACATGGCATCATTAGAAAATCTACAAATTTGAACCTGGTGTCGATTTTTGGCCAATATCTCCATTTGTGGATTGCGAGAAGTAACTCATTTTGTCAGCACGCCTTACATTTATATACGGTACAAGGTGACACTATATACTTTATTGGGTAGGCTCATAGATAATGCTGCATTCTAAAAAATCAAGGCTAAAAGAGGCACCATTCTTGACCATCAATGATTTATTTATAGAGGCACCAGCCATCCATGTCCAGGTGCTGTTTTAGCCAAGCACAATTCTTCTAAAACGTCTCTTAACTCTTGTACATTGGTCATAATGTAGTACGGACGCCAGTTTAGCAGTTTCACAGCATCACTTGGTTGTTCATAGCCGTGACAAAAATCTAGATTACCAAACCCAAGCCAGTGTTTGTTATAATTTGACAATGACAATGACAATGACAATCTTTATTCATCTCGCAGGGAGAAATTTGTCTTGGTCGTTAACAATGGCAGTAGACGTTACAAAAGTTAGACTTAAAGGTGCACTCACGCAAACGCACAACAAGACAGGACATTAGACCAAGTAAATACATGTCTCACGGGCATGATTTGGAATCAAACTGTACGTTTATCGCTCAGACCATTCATTTGACTCAGTTTGGTGCTTATCTTTTGTAGTTACGCTGAACAGGAGTGAAATCATTGGGAAGTGTGTGATGCTGAGGACTTGGGTGACAGAATTGGTGGGTGGTTGAAGGGTGCTCTGGTGTGGTTTGCTTCCTTTTTTTTCCGTATTCAACATCTATTGCCTGTATTTCTCCTCCTTTTCTTGCTCTTTAGGAACAGCTCTAATCTTTGTCACTTATATGACCTATTTGTGTTGCGAGTGCCGTAAGACTCTTCTTCCCCTCTTTCAGGTGTCAGGTCTGAAGCAGACATTGACGATCATGGTACCCCATTCTCTTACTAAAACGAGAAGTGGCAGAATTGGTTTAGTTTTAGTAGGAGTTTTACGGCACTTGCAACACAATAAGGTCATATAAGTGCCGAAGATTAGAGATGTTACAACAGAGTAACAAACACAAAATAGAAGGAGGAGAGATCAGGACGATAGACGTTTGATAGGAAAGAAGAAGCAAACCACACCAGAGCACCCGCCAGCTACGTACAAATAAGAAATTATAATAATATACTAAGAGTAAAAAACAAAAAAACGTGGGCCCTTGAACCTCTCTTAAGTTGGTGGCTTGTGTGTGCTGCTGTAAGCATTCCTCCTTGTATTCCCTTGTAAACCTGTCCCCGTGGATTTATGCACCCCGCATAATTGTAGCAAAATTTGATCATTTTTTTGCATAATTTCTGATTATTTTCCTTTATTATTCTTTGTTAAAATTAACAGAATCGCATAATTTCACATTTTTGGGGCTCAGTTTGCATAATTTCATAATTTTTCTTACATAAAACGACGGGGACAGTTAAATCATGTCCTTTTTGTCCTTATCTGCTTTCGGACAAGATGTGAATCAGCGTCTGTGGTTTAGAGGTTATATTATATTACAGGCGCTTCGCTGGCGCACGCAGGAGACTCGTGTTCAATACCATAACGGGGGAGAATATTTATCGAGCGTCTCAGGATTTCTGCTGGGGTGTTGTATCTCTTGTATCCCTCTCGGTCCGGGTTGGCCCTAGCAAGCATGGTTGAAGTACAGTGCAAATCATAACAGGCCCGGTAATAACAGGGATCTAGTAATAACAGGGATTTTTTAAATTCCCGTTTTTCCCTAGTCTTTGTCTCTGTTAAAAGTTATCGGCAATAACAGGGCCTCATCGGAGCCGAATCGGTCATAACAGAGACAAAGGCTCGTTAACAACGTTGAGAGAGAGAGAGAGAGAGAGAGAGAGAGAGAGAGAGAGAGAGAGAGAGAGAGAGATGCAGCAGGTGAAGCAAGACAGGGCTGCAGTGTGCTGTAAACATCGATCTAGCCCTAAGCCTAGCTACACGCATGCGTAAAAAACCCTGTTCGTGGGTACTTGGGGCAAGGGAAACTACCCATGAATAAATACAGCTGGATTAGTCTACAAATGCTTACTTCCCTTGTATTTCTGATTTAACAGGGATCTGATATAACAGCACTTTTTCTCTGGTCCACCATCCCTGTTATAACAGGTTTCTACTCTACTGTAACTGTCCGGTTCGACTCCTAGACGATCTAAAAAGTGTGGACGAGGGTGTACAAAAACCCACAATTACATTTGAAAAGTTATTGGCAACATAACAGGGGGGCTCTCATGGTCTAGAGGTATGGTGTTCTCCTCCTATTGAATAGGTCCTAGGTTCTAAACCTGATGGCGAAGGAACATTTTCTTCTCTAAAATTTTCTCCTTTACCCTCCTTTCCTGCTCCTTAAGTCAGCTTTCGTCTCCACTTTCTGCTCCCCCCTTCTCCTAACCTTTTTGGATAAGGGCAAAACAAAACAAAATATCGGAGGTCTGCTGTGTAAACTGTTCACGTTAAAGATCCCTTGGTGGTCCTAACATCGAAAAGAGTAGACTCCGGCCACCACGCGGACAAAATTCAAAATAAGTTCCTACTACGTGTATACTGAAATTGCTTTTTGATTCCTGAGCTCTCATATGACCTTATAATGCAGTTGCAAGCACTTTAAAACACTTACCAAAAAAAAGTAAATAAGTAAAAAAAAAGGTGGGTGGTTGGCGGGTGCTCTGGTGTGGTTTGCTCATCTATTGTTCGGCACTTGAATTATATGACCTTATTGTGTTGCAAGTGTTGTAAACCTCTTAGTACTAAAACAAACAAACTATAAATAACATTATAACGTCGTTTTACTCCACCCTCACAGTGTCCGTGAGCCAGTCTTGCCCATTGGGCACGGTGCGGTGCAACAGTACATCCCTGTGTCTCCCGGACAAGTATCTGTGTGATGGCGACGAGGACTGTGAGGATGGGGAGGACGAGGTGGGGTGTGGGGGCCAACCGTCAGGCTGCGGGGATCTGTACGAACAACATGGAACGTCCGGCACCATCAGCAGCATGGGCTACCCCGTGTCCTACAGCGATAGAGCTCACTGCCACTGGCATATAGTCGCGCCCCAGGGGTACTCCATCACTCTAGAGTTCGTGAACGTCTTCGATCTAGAGAGGCCTCGGCATGGAGACTGCATTTACGACAGCGTTATGATCTACGGGATGGCGGCGTCATCGCTGACACTTTTGGGTCGTTACTGCGGTGACGTCAAGCCTGGTCCTGTGAGTGTGGGCGGGAACGAGGCTGTCGTCGAGTTCCAGTCAGACGATCAGACAACTGGGCGTGGTTTCAATATCACGTGGTCAGCTAAAATCAATCCAGCAGACACGACGTTGCCGACTACAACTAGATCGAGCACGTCACAATCGTCGTGTGTATTTGAAGTCGGCGGGGACAGAGGCAGTATATCTTCTCCAGGGTATGACGAAGGTAACCCATACCCGTCGCCCTTTTCTTGCAAGTGGAAAATCAGCGTGGATTCAGACCACCTGATAGCTCTTGACTTTTCTTATCTCAACGTCGGTATCTTCTCCTCGTCCAGATGTCAGAACGCCTGGCTCAAGTTGTTTGATGGGCCCGACACGAACCACCCCTTACTCGGTCAATTCTGTGACGCCATAATACCGGGAGAACTCTTGTCCACTTCGAATAACGTGACGGTGGAGTTTTGGGTGGGTAATAACGACAACAATAAACGAGGTTTCAAGTTAACTTACGTAGCCTTTGAGAATCCTGAAAAGGGCCCATCTACGACTTTAGGCCCAACACCCCCGGGGTGTGATGGTAACCCGCTAAAGGTTACTTCGCCGTCAGGGTTTATAACATCCCCGAATTTTGATAGTGACGAAACTTACAGAAGCAGTCTTGACTGTGAATGGACTCTACAGGGAGAACCTGGCACCGTCTTTTATTTTCACTTTTTAACTTTTGATCTCGAGCAGTCAAGCTCATGCGACTTTGACTATTTAAACATATTCGATGTAATTCCTTCAAACAACACTGTGAACGCAAGTACCACAAGCCTGGTGAATATAACAGCTTCATATAGCAGTGAAAACATGACTAGCCTTCATCAGATAGAGACACTGTGTGGCTTTTCTTTGCCTTACGATATCGTGACTGGTAGTAACCACGTCGTCTTTCGGTTCCACTCCGATGACCAAGTCGAAGGGTCCGGTTTTAATATCAGTTACGAAACAAAACCACCTCCAATCCAGTGTCCGTCGGGTCAGTTTCTGTGCGGGAGTGACGAGTGTGTAGACCTAGCCTTGGTCTGTGACGAAGTCTCTCAGTGTATGGACGGGACGGACGAGCTGGTCTGCCCGTCATCCAAACAGACGTGTGGCGTGTCCACGATCCCACCTTCTCTGAACAACGACAGAATCGTGGGCGGGAAGGAGTCGGTCGACGGGGCCTGGCCCTGGACCCTGTCTGTTTTGAAAGACGACAGCCACCAATGTGGTGCAACCCTCATCCTGCCCGGGTGGGCGTTGTGCGCGGCTCACTGTTTCGAAAAAGTGTACGACCGGAAGTACGATCACTACTCCCTGATAGCGGCGCGTCACCAGCTCGGGGTTCCCAGTCGGCACGAGCAGAGGCGGTACTTTGCAGACGTCATCATACCACGTGACTACGTGAGCCAGACGTCGTACCACGATATCGCTCTGATCAAGCTGACGCAACCTTTCAACTACACGGACTACGTGGGCCCTGCTTGTCTGCCCAACGCGACAGCCCCGGTGGGGACAAAATGCTACGTCACCGGATGGGGAGACACGGCTGGTACCTGCTGTCAGGACCTGCTGAAACAAGCCGCGGTGCCCGTCATGAACACAAGCCTGTGTTCCCAGCCGGACTACTACGGGTCCCGTGTGAAGGAAGGCATGATGTGTGCGGGCTACCCACAGGGGGGCGTGGACGCGTGTGAGGGTGACTCGGGGGGCCCGCTCGTGTGTCCCACACCTGGCCAGTCCACTCGCTGGGAGATACAGGGCATCACGTCTTGGGGACTCTTCTGTGCTTTCCCCAAGAACCCCGGGGTCTACACGATCGTTCGAGATTACCTGCCGTGGATCCAGCAAAACGTTGCTCGAAACTCCGACTAGACGAGTGATCAGTGTCTCTGTGATCTTGAACATTCTTATGAATGGGGGTCATTTTCTTTAGCTGTATAATATATATATATATATATATATATATATATATATGAAATGCAGTGGAGTCCGCTGAAAACAAGATCTGCGGGACTGTCCTATTTCTTCGAAGTTTTGCTGTCTTTTTGGTATACAAAGACTGCTCAAAGAGCGAACAAAAACCCCTTGGATTCTAGTTTCTTTCGGTATATCGCTGTTTTTGGATTAACCGTGTTCTGTTTAAACGGACTTCACTTTATTATATTATTATACATGTATATGTTAATTATATTAACATGATAGCTTACTTTTTAAATGCAAATACTAAGGTTCATTGTATTATTTTCTTTTAAATATGAATTGATAGACATTTTTTCCTGTTCGGAATTAAATTAATTCTTCCCTATTGTGCTCTTAAAATAGAGTATAAAAAGCCAAAATCTTCGTCTCAGGGCGATTTTCGGGCTTACCGAGTTCATGAAAGAATAAATATTTGAACTCTTTGGCTCTTTGTTTTTATTACTGTCTAAGTACATGTACATATGTTGCGTCTGTTGCATCCAGTCTATTTTCAATATGATCCGTAGTCGTACAGGATATTCTTTGTACACCGTGGCTACTTATTCGTCCACTTATACTAGTAGCAGCAACCGTAAAAATGAGAACAGTATTTGTAGCCATAACAGCAGGACCAGGTGTAGTAGTAGTAGTAGTAGTAGTAGTAGTAGTAGTAGTAGTAGTAGTAGTAGTAGTAGTAGTAGTAGTAGTAGTAGTAGTAGTAGTCC